CACAAGGTGTTTTGTGCTTCACAAAGGCAGAAAATGTGCCCTGGATGTCATAATCAAGACTGCAACATGTTGCATATTTTTTAAACGCTTGCTGTGACCCAGAATTGGTCTTGGACACTCTGCCTCTACGCATATAACCCTGCCTATTTCAATGAACCACATGAAGGAAGAGCTCACTTAAAATATCTGTTCTTGTTGTGATAAAGCACTTAAATCCAACACCATACAAGAACAATGGCACTTTTAAATAATGCACTTAATATGCTACCATCAATACCTGGTGATAACTCACATTTTATCCTGGCAGTCCAGCTTTCAAAATTAACACAGGCACACTAGCCATATATTGATCCCAGCCCATTCATCTGTGGTTATATTATGGCAATAATTATAACTTTCAAGCAATTTGCTGGTTGTTTGAGAATGTGTAGGTGAAAAGAAATGGAGTTTTTAAATGTCATTTCTACATAAAAATGAGGACTCAATGTAAGACATTCCCACCTGCTTCCTAAAGGCAGGACTGCTTAACAAGTTTGATGTCCAAGTGGGAAACATATTTCATGTTCACAAAGAATAATTTTAGAAATGTGATTTTCAAGCTACACATATGTAGATGTGTATGTATAAAAGTACTTGTTGGCAGAAGGGTAGACAGTATCAATACCTGAGATAGTATTCATAACCCTTTAACTTTTTCATTAGTGTATTCCACTAGGATTCCACAAATGATGGCACATAATTTCAAAGTCAGTCGAACAACAGAAAGAATGCAATTCCTGAAATTAGTATTTGTAATTTGAGATAAATTGCTGGTGAAACATCAACAGTTTCAGAGAGTTGAGGGACAAGCCTTATCTCAAAAAACATAAGTTTAGCTAAGCTTTTAGCCTCTTAACAGCAACATTTCACTTCTTCTTGTGACATTCAATAAGGTAGAAAAGAAAACACTATATGAGACTTCAAAGTCAAAGCTAACAATGTTCTTAATTATAAACCAACAACAGGGTCAATTCACACTCGTTCTTAGTGTGTCAGACTCTGGCCCACGATGGTAAACTGATGTCAAAATGTTGTTTTGAAAGAAATATGAAGGATTTAGTTTTGCTTATAATTTAAAGAAAACTCAAACAGCCTGTCTTCAGTCTTCTTAATGTCTCATTATCAGACATGCTGATCAGTGAATTGCTACCGCAAGTTCATTGTGTCAGAGAAGTACATAAGGACAGATAAAAACAAAGCAGCGTGAGTCCTTGAGGCTGTCCAGTGGGAGAAGATGCAGAGAGAAAAAGAGCAGGTGGCAGAAGGCTTAACCTGAGATAAATCCCTTCAATGAGCTCATCTCCGCAGACTTAACCAGCTTTGAATTGTCTGCTTTCTGCCAGTACAGCTAGATATGGCTACTCCCATTCAGGCAGCTAAGTCAGCCGCCAGCAACACAGCTAATCTGTCTGAGCACAACCCGCAGGCCATATGGTCTTTGAGTGTCTACTGTCTCGCAAACAACTTAATTACTACAAAATATTTTATGTTTTGAAATATGTAGCTTAGGTGTAATATTTAAGTGTTTCAATATAGATATGCATCATATGACAGAGGATGGTGTAAACAGATTCAGCCTTTAGTTATACTATAATCCCAATTAAATGCTCATGTTGATGCCCCCTTTCTTCCATTCAGGTGAGGACAGCTTCTGTAAGCCTGTTGGTTAAAAAAGTCCTCCTGTCACAATAACAAGTGCACATTGTAAGCTCCATTAATCCTCCGCTAAGAACGTGCCAAACTGGGCGTGATATAACACAACAGAGACCACTCAGCAAGACTGTCAGTGTCAGACGCTCTTGAAAGGAACAGTTGAAAAAACCCATTTACATACACCTTCATAAAAGCATACATAGAAAATTTCTCACTACCTGGAATTAAATTGGGCTAAACTTAGCTCATTTTAAGTCTGTCAAGATTGCTAAATTATCATTTTTATGTATTTTTTAAGTAATAGACTATTGACATATAAAATAAAAAAACAAAACGTATGGCTTTATTAGTTTCAAATACATACATGATTTTAGAAAATTTGATTGCTTATACTCATAATATCATGTCTTTTGATAAGTACATTAAATTGGTAGCCACCTGTTGACGTCACAATCCCGCAGACATAATGCCTCAATGTGTTACATTTTTGGGGAAAAACAGCCATAGAAGAAATGAAAAAAAAAAGCCAAAATATCAGAAGAATTATCATTGGGGACAGCATGCAAACACCTGAAGGAGCCATGGCTATCTGTTTCAACATTTATCCTGAAATATAAATCCTGGGAATGCCAAACCATTACACTATTCAGGAAGGGGATGGTTTCTGCCTCCCAGAGATAAACATGTCTGGGTGTGAAATGTGTGAATTGACCCCAGAACAAGACCTTGTGAAGATGCTGACCGGATGAAGATGGTATGAAAATACTGTATCATTATTCACAAAGATTATCTGGAAGTTGCCATTCCTCCTAAGATTTCTCCTTGGTTTTTCAAGCAATGTCTTGTCTGAAGAAACTAAAATGCTTAGTGAGTGTTTGGCCCGAAGTCCTTAAGCATCATTTCAACTGCGAAGTACAAACAGGGCAGCATTATGTTTGTGGGCATTAACTGCAAAGTGGACCGTAGATGGCATCACAAGAAAAGAACATTTTGCACAAATATTGAAGCAACAACTCAAGACATCAGTCAGGATGTTAAAGCTTTGTCAGAAAAGGGTCCTTTAATAATCCCAACCATTACACAAATTAGCTACATAGCACTTTTAAGATGAATTCAATTTAGTGAAGTAACAAAGCCTTAATTGCAGTCTCATTAAATATTGTTGGGGCCGAGGAGAAAATGTGTGTGTGAGGAAGGTGCCCTACAAACCTGTTTCTGTTACACCATTCAGGAGGCAATTCTTCCAAATAGAGATAAAATACACATAAATTGATAGACCTTTTTATAACAAGCAAAAATGATTTAACCTAGTTATCCTAATTAACCTAACATAACAAAATATTTAGTCTTGAGTTAATATCAGACAGTGAGAGATAAATATAGCAACAAGGTTTGTTTATACAACATACAAATGTCTCTTTATAATATGCACTGTGTTGTTTGAGAAGAGAATCAACCCTGCAGCATGGTGCACAAGTAACAAAAGACAGCCCTTTTTTTTCGAAGATGTCGTTGCTTGAGCTAAAGACAAAAACAAGGCCCTGTAATATGTGGTGAATGGGTAAGGGTGTGGGGGTGGTTCTCAGCACCATGGCTACAACCCTGTTGTTATGCTCTAATCCCCTGAGTCCAAGCCTGTTATCGTGATGTCATGGCAAGCAGAACGTTCTGATGTCGTAGGTAAGAGCAGGTATAATTGAATTTCACCTAACAAACAAGTCGAATCTCAGCCAAACAGATTATCTCTTTCGAGAATTGGTTTCTAGCCTTGTCTTAAAAATAAGAGCAAAAACTGATCATCTCGCCACACATGGCACTTTCACTGAAGAAGGGATATTATGTATTTTCCAGGCACATGGTACCATTTTACAACATAATCAAATAATTATGTTTCATCTTGTTGCTATAAAAATGCTTCATAGAATAAACAAAAAAAAAAAGTTTGGCACCTTGACATTGACTTCTGTTTTCTTAATAAGCTCCTCCTCTTTCTGACACTCTATCACGTCACCACAACAGTGTACTTTTAGCTTTGTGTAAATAGGCGGCACTTGGTATAAGCAACCATTTCGGCACTCCAAATGTTTGCCATAGGAGATTCAAGAATTTCTCAGACATGCATAAAAGAGTCAAAGCAACATTCCAAAGATGTTTTTAAATGAGAGAATACCAAAACAACATGACTTAAAGCTCATAAAGATGAATTTTAAATAACACACCCCCTTTAGCCAGCAGGGAGACATTCATAATATCAGCTTTGTATTTGAAAAATAAGAAAAACTGCTAATAACCGGCGTTCACAGAAATGTTTTAATGAGTGAGGAAACACCTCTACCAGTTATCAGTCTAATCTTCATTAGCATTTGCACTGCCTTCATCATCATTCTAAATGCTGCTAAAAGGTCCCCAAGCGGATCTGGATGAACGTAAAACCTAATGGTGAATATGGGTCCTTATGGAGTCTGAACATATGGCATATTTGTCCAAGATCAAAGGTAACACACTCAGTAAGTTTGCTTGGTCAACATCACACATGTCAACATCATTAAATCAGTAAAAGTCCATTTATTTCAGTATTCACAATTCCAAAGTGAAATTATATGGATTTTTAACACACAGTGAGATGTTTTAAGTTTTTTTCAGTTCTATCAAGTAAAATAAAAAAACAAAAAAAATCAGTTTCTGAGAAAATTTGAATCTCCATTGAAAAAAGGACTTGTAATACAGAAATGTTATGATCTGTATGGTCATGGGGTAGATTGCTAAATCAACCTTAAACTGTGCTGGAGGAAAAAGAAGCACTTACACAGCTGTTAGAACATTCGGCTCTGGAGTTTGATGTAAGAAGCTGGCATTTATTTGTAATATTGACTGACCTACTTTTTTGCTTCTGTTGCCCTAGTTTTTTCTGTTAGATTTTATTTTTGAAATATTTTTGAGTATAGTGTTCAGTATTAGAAATGCTAAACAGCCTCGTCGTTGCTGATATAAGTTAATCAAAGCCATTCAGAGTGGTGACACATTTAGATGCTTGTTTATGGATTTTTGTTTTCTTATGTAGCTTGAAAGGTCACTCTCACGCCTGCATTCACTTACAAAGCAAATGTGACATTTGAGCTTTACAAAGTTTCAAAAAGAGCTGCCTGGCTTTGGCCAGGTCCCAACAGATATCTTATCTCTGTAGGCTCATGACATGCAGGAAGGATGTGGAAGAGACAAAAAAGAAGAGCTTTCTCCCACGTAAACACACACCAACCCCATCCGCCACACAAGCACAAAGAGATAAGAGTAAATGATAGCCATCTCACCTGGTCGTCCACTCTGTGGGCCACAATGGTCGCCCCCTCCTCTTGCTCAGCATCACTCAGGGGTCGAATCCTCAAGGCAACCTGTGGCAAGCAATATGAATACAGTCATCCTTGAATTTCATTGACACAGTGGGATCCAATTTACCAGACTTAGACCTTGTAAGCAAATAATAAACATGAACCATCACTCAACACAATTTCTTGTTTCCAAAGAATGTTTTTGAATATGGCAAGGGTGTTTTTTCTTAGAAAAATAGACAAGATAAAGTACAAATTTTAGATTTCACACTAGTAAATTTAAAATTCTTAGTCTGAAATTTGCTGAGAAATTGTTGTTCTCAGCAACAATTTAGAGTTGCTGAGAACTTAACAATAGCCAAATTCATAGCGAAAGCATGACAAATGACATGTCAAAGAAACAAAAGATAGACATATTTGAGGCTGTTTAAAGAAGCTTCATGAAAGATTTACGGTACTTACCCAAATTTCAGGAATATATCCTTAACAAAATACACACACTAAAGCATGGTTCATAATAAATTGCTTTCGATACTTGATTTTTTCTGTTTTTTCAAGCTGCCTATTTTGTAGGAGGTTTTATAATGGATTTCTTCAGCTTCCTTACATGATTCTTATTCAAAAACATCTTTGACTACAGTTGCAAGATTCTCCATAGGATTTAGGTTTGTACTTTAACTGGACCACACTTACATGAATATCCCCACACTATGATACTGCAACCATCACACTTCTTACTGGAGATTATGTGGTCAAGGATGATGTAGAATGTTAGGTCTTTTTCACATGTAGCATTGCACATGGCAAAAAAAAGAGAGTCCAGTTTGCTCTTATCTGGCCAGAGTACCTTCTTCCACATGGTTGCCATGGGTCCAGTGTGTCTTGTGGCAAACTGCCAAATTAGCTTCATATGGCTGGCTTTCAACAATGGTTTTCTCAGGGTGCTCTTCCATTAAAGCAGTTGGTGAATTCTTTTAGGCTGTACTTCCATCAGATCAGGTCAATGTTTGCAGCTTTGCAATTTTCTCTATAGTATTGATGAACATTTGAAATGATTTATACATGAAATGAATAAATCGTGGGATAAATTCTATTGATCCCAAGAACTTGGGATTTTCCTTAAGACTATTAGAGTAAAGAGCAACATTTTATATGTTTTTAGTCAAAAATAGTCATTTATATAGTTCCACAATTATATCCCACGTTATCATATAAAACCCAAAGACAAAATATTGACATTTCCAGTTGTAAGGTGGCAAAATATGAAAACAATGAATAGACTGGAAGGTAATCTGTTATAATTAACCAACGGATTTACAGCAATTCCTAATCTTACAGATTAGGAAGTGCTGTGTTTGAGTAAGTGGATGTGGCTTAACGTGACAAGAATGTACTTTCAAATTAAACACAGCACTGTATCTATAGATTGTATAGCTCCAATCTATACAATCCATAGATTGTAGCTATGAACACTAAATTAGGCAGGTGCAAAACTATTTATTGAGAGAATTGTAGAATTACAACAAGTACTGCATCTTAGGCCTAGATGATTTTAAGGAAACCTGAGTCTGTTCAACAAGCTCTAGATCATGGGAGGACAGTGGATGTCCATCCAACTGGCTAAATAAACAAATGGTGCGCAACACAAATGGAAATGGTATAGTCAGCCAAATGTCGCATGCAAGCAATCATATGTGTTTGCATTATTTCAGACAATAATATTACAGCAACAACTACAATATGATATTTTGTGCAATCCAAATGCATTGCAAATTGGGCTTAGAGAATTATTGGAGGACATAAAATCAGACTTTTTGTCTATGTGATCTCAGGGTAAGAAATGTGCTGCAATTTGTGCTGCAAGATGTCTGATAATAACGCCAATAAGCCTGGTATATCTCATATTGACCAAGGCACCAAATGGTCATACTATAGATTTTTGTCCATCAGCATATTGTGGAAGCTTTATTACATGCTGGACAAGAGAGACCGGGCAGCTGAAACAGTCACCTCAATAATTTAGGTGTGCACTGCAGAACACAGCACAGGCAGAGCGAGTGGAAATTGAAGAAATAATAGCAACAGTGGATGACTTTGGGAGGTATAATGAGAAACAACAGGGGAAAAATAGAAAAATATCAGGTGGCCACATGTGCCTTACTTTCATTATATCTGTAATGTAAAATGTTAGTTTCTGTTTTCATAGGTGGTGTTTGATATGTTATAAACAATGTCAGTTATTGGGATTTTGTGTGAGTAACCGACTCAAAAAGGAAGAAAAATAAATAGTTTTTAAAGATTCTTGCCAATAAAAATCTGAAATTGGAAAGTCCATTTGACCTTCTTGACACTCATATTAAAAAAAATATTTTAAAAATTGCAAAAGATTGGTCTGATTCTGTTCAACAAGCCACCAATCAACAAGTTACTTGATTAGTAAATAGAGTCCAGATTAGCGAGTCAGAGATAATGCTATGGAGAAGCTTAATGTACGGTAATTTTTTCACTTCAGAAAACCATAACCAGCCTCATTCGATATCATCCACAACTATGCAGGGTAAAACATGTCTGAAAGTAGAAAAGACATGTGGAGCACTGCATGTGGATCATAACAAACAATGTTCGTAACCTTGAATATACCATGCCAACAGAAAAACATGTAGCGACAGCACATGGTTTGTGGATTCATTTCTTTAGCAGAGTTGATTGGTAGATATATGGAGCTAAATATAAGACAATCTGTGGAGAAAACCCACAAGAGGCTGCAAAACATTTGCAACCTGGGCAGAAGTCTAAGCAGAACAACAAATCTAAACATACAGCCAGAGCAACAAAGGAACAGTTTAGTTTGGTTTAGTTTAAACTATATTCCTGTGTTAATATAGTCCAGTCAAAGCAAAATGAAAATGTTATTTTATGACTTGAACATCTTGCAATGGTGTTTACACACTGTTTTACCTAAAAAAAGTGGAATAGAACTGGACGCCATACTTTTCAGAATTCATTATACAATACATTTGTTTATGCGTTAAAAAGAAAAGTAAAACTTCACAGTTTCATATAGTCAAACAAACAAGATAACAATTACATATGCATCGCTCAATTTAAGCATTAGTACAACAAAAGCTACATTGGAATTATTAAATATATCAATAAAACAGGAGACATTTAGGCTTAATCGGTAATACATTGCTTTTTCATGTTTGTTAAGAACATGTAGTAACTTGTAAAAAAAACCCTTAAAGACATTTTTAAACTTACAGTCAGTTGTTGGTCCTTTGATTCCCCCGTGTCCTTCATGTTCGCTTCGGGTCCAGGTGAGGGGAACAGCTTTAACAGCGAACGCAGCACTGGGCCATCTCGTTCTGCGGCGTGGGCACCGGCATGCCGCCTTTCCCTAACACCTTCAGGCACCACACGCTTAGAAACTCTCTGACTAATGGCTTTTACTGTCTAATTATCCCTAACGGTCTCCATACACTTTTCACACGCGCAGCCACCAACCTAACAGTGCATGGTCGTTACTTTTTTTCTTAGCGCGCGCTCTGTCCTCCTCTGTGTTTGGTAAAGTGAGTCGACGCTCCCACTTCTTCTCCTCGTGAATGTTGGATTTCTGCGCAGCAGCTTGGAAACGCAGGAGAGAGAGGAAAAAAATCATCTCCCTCGTGTGGAAAAGAAGAATGAGTCAGGTAACGATAGCAGCGCTTCCACCTGCTTCGTTCCCCTCCTCTCCGCTGCCTGCCTTCTGCTGCTGGCTTTCTGTATGGTGAGCGTTTGTTTCTTTTGCGTACGTGCGTGTTGTCCCTGGAGACCTGAGGCGCAGGCGTTATCAAGGCACCTACGGCTACTGTAAACAATAGTAACACTCTTCCGATTGTAAAATAAAACAGTCCGATATTTTGTCTGATCAAAGTAAAAAACAAACAAAACAAACATAAGCTCATATATCTCATAATTATTACACACCAGGTCATCATTATAAGATATGAGAGAATATGAAGGGAAAACTACTCTTTATTATTATTATCACAATGGTTGCAAACTCCTGCAATAGCCACAAGTGGACCCGTAACAAAAAACATCTACAGTAAATTTCCAAGGTGATGCACTGTGATGAGTGAATCACAGTCCCATTTTCCACAAATGGAGAAAACATGAGAAGGTTGTTGAACTTTAAGCCTACTACAATTTACTGTAAGGATGCATCAACAACAACTTATCCAGGAGGTGACACAACATCTGCAGCGCTGCAGGACACATGGTGTTCATGACTCAATTGTAAACTTGTTTAAATGGGCTGAACTTGTACAACAATGTCTTCGTTTTCTGACCACTCAAAGAGCTTTCACTCTGGCCTCTCATTCACATGCATACACATTCTTTATGCGATACTCAGTTCAGTAGGAAACTTTGGGGTAAGTTGCTTTCCCCAGGGTCACATCAATGCATGGTGAAAGTTGGAATCAACCCACAATTTGCCCATTATCCAACTCTTCACCCAAAAGCTTTGCCATAAACGTCTGAAGAATGTGTAGAATAACATTCAAAAATACTTAATAATAATACTAGCAATACTATACTGACATCTGCTGGATGGAAGAGAATACACAGTGCAGATTAGTTTCAACCTAACATAGACACAGAAATGAAGTGAACCAAAGAACAATTATAGAACAGTTAATGCAATGTTAGGAAAGTTCTTCAAACATGTGAAAGGGTGACAGTCAGGACCTTGAAATACAGTGCCTAGCAAATAGCCTCATACTCACTGAACTTCTGCAGATTTTATTACAACCAAAAGCTTCAATGTAATTATTGGGGTTTTTTTTATGTCCAGTCCAAGTAAAAAATATATGACTCATGAAAAAAACATTATTCTCTCAAATTATTTTGGATTCCTTTTAAATTAACTTAATTAAACATATGCAACTAGTTGTTAGTCTATGTTAAATACTGAATATCCACCAGGAAAAAGCTGAAGAGCAAACTCAGTCAGGGGAAAAGTCTGAATCATAGCAAAGCTGTGGGACCAGATGATGTTAGCCTCAGAGCTCTACATATCTGTATGAACCATCTGTCTGGCTTCCTACCATACAATATGCAACATCAGCCTGACCTAGGAGACTTTTCCAGCACAATGAGAGACATGTTGTATCGTTCTAGTATCTAATAAATCTCATTCATAGGTCCTCAATGACGATAGAGCCAATGTTCTGACATCCTAGGCCATGAAAGTCCAGAATAGATTTCTGTTGGTTGATCTATTCTCCTTAATTCTTAGATATTTTGCTTACATTGCACTATATTTTTGTTTCTACTTGTGTTTTTGTTGTTTTTATTCATCTAACAGCAAAGCAAAGACTCATCACTCATTGTACTCAAACTGGTTTATTCACCTGACAATGAGACTTTATGTTTTGGGACACAAAATTAAGCACCCACTCAGTGCCTTTACAGTGTAACATGCTACAAAAAATACTATTAATCAACACTGCATGTATTAAATTCTTACAAAAAATTAGTCAACAAAATTGTGCTGTTTGAATGACTGGATTTAAAGGGGGGGAAAAACTTTTTAAAATGTTTTTTTAAATAATTATAGTCAGAACAGCACAGCTTACCTGACTATAATCTGCATTGGTTGGATTAGATATGCACAATAAAAATTAATTAATGACATTTTAGACCACAGAAAAAAGGGTGATCTTGTGAGATATTGCCACAAAAACTAAAAAAAAATATATAAAAATGGCACACAATTTAAAGAACTCTAAATAAAAAAGAATAGCATGTTATTTTACACATTATATACAAAAGCAAAGGTCTCAAGGTAGATTTTCGGTTTCTGGAACCTAAAGCTTGTTTGTGTAAGAATGTAAAAAATAAAATAAAATAAAAAATGCTCTTCACCATTACCTCCTGCAGTGTGCCTTCAGTGCTCGGTTTGTGCTTCACAACTTTCAACTCCATGACATACCAGGAGATAAAATCTTTCGTATTTCAGATTTTACTTTCATGAGTTAATCTTTAAGTATCCAGATGTAAGCTGTGAGAAGTCAGATAAAAAGCTTCACAGAGCGACAAGCAGAAGAATCTCCATTTGAAAAGTATCTAATCTGGTCTTTCAAGATGTTTCTGAACTTTTTGTTAGATATGAAGTGAACCAAAGAACAATTATAGAACAGTTAATGCAATGTTAAGAAAGTTCTTCAAACATGTGAAAGGGTGACAGTCAGGACCTTGAAATACAGTGCCTAGCAAATGTCCTTATACTAACTGAACTTCTGCAGATTTTATTACAACCAAAAGCTTCAATGTAATTATTGTTTTTTTTTTTATGTCATAGACCAATACTGTGTTGTCAAAAAGTGGAAGCAAATTCATACGCAATTTTAGAAGATGAAATAAAATAAAAATAACTGAATAAAGAAGAAACATAAATAAGTTTGGCGCACATCAGTTTTTAGCCCTGTTTATTTGCGATACCTCTAAATAAAACCTAGTGTAATCAATTCCTTTTAAAAGTCACCTGCAGCCGTGTGAAAAGAAAAAAAAATATCACACAAATATAAACGGATTTAGAAGAACATTACTCTGAGTTGTGGACATCCACAGCTTAGGTTCAAGAAACTGTTAACATGTCACCTAGGATTTATGAATCTCACAAAGGAAGAATGGGGAGAGGAAGCCATTGTTGAAGTAATCTGTAAGAGTATGATTATTCTTCACAAACCAAAACTTGCAACTATAATTGCAGGAAAAAGTTACTTTAGTAGGATGAATGCAATTGCAAGTAACACTTTACACATTTTGTATTTGCAAAAAATCCTAACAATCCTAACAATCTCTACTTCCCATTGAGTCACAATTTGTGTTTGGTCTATTCCAAAAAAAAAAAAAAACCAATGAAGCATATTTAATCTTTTGTTTGTAGTGCAAAACATGTAAAAGATCAAGTGGCATGATGACTTTTGCAAGGCACTGTAGTGAAGAACAGCACTGGCTTTTATTATTTTTTCTTTTGGCCTGAAACATTGCAGGTCGCCCAGAGTTCTGGACTGAAGAGATGTTGAAGTTTGTCCTCTGTGATGCATCCAACAGCTGCTTCCGGCTCCTTTGCTGGTTCCCTCCTCGCAGACGTGAGATAGAAGTCTAGGCTTGGAAGTCGCTTCCAAAGTGTCTGCTCTGCTCCTCAGTCATGGAGAGATAAGTGGCCCTCATCGTCGGTGAGTACTGTGGAGGAAAGACAAATGCAGACATATACAGAAATATTTTACATGAGCGCTCAGAGCAGGGTAAGTCTTCAGAGAGGAACAAATAAAGAAGGAAAGAGACATGAAGAAGTAGTCCACTGAAAAGCTATCTTATGCAATGCTTAGTCCTTTGCAAATGTTTCCTAGCAATAGTATGTTTGTCTCTGCTGGAACAGAACCTTTTATTCTACAAGGCAGCAAATAGCAACTGTTTACCAGCTGGTATCCTCAACAAAGAAAACTTTATGTCCACAGAGTCAGCACTAGATAACATTTTCAGTGGAATATTCCTTTGACTCATTCCTATTAGTTACTCAAACAAACATAATTTCTGCTCAATGAAAATATTAATTAAAATAAATAAATTATGTGTTTCCAGGTGCTTCTCAATAAATTTGATTAGTTTCTAAAAGTAACTCAATTTCAGTAATTAATTTTAAAAAGTAAAACTCATAAAGATTTATGTTATGCCTGACACAATCATGGTGATGACTTTACTGTTGTTCCAACAGTCGTTTGATTCCCCGAATAATAAGGGGGAACAACAAACTTTAATTTCTGATGAAGTTGGCTGTTGTCAAAGTACTGGAACTAAAAATATAAAGGTAAAGTTGAGTGGGAGGAAAAATTTATTTTCCGATTAAAGTAGATTTTGCACTTCACTTGAAATACAATGCAGCAGAATTGGGAGGAAAAGCAAAGAGCCGCAGAATCCAAGTTACTTGAGATACAGATTAATGCTGGTGATGAATTGTGTTGCCATATGCTGCTTTTGGTTCATTGTGTTTTATCTACCCCAACATCAGTGGCATCGTCTACCATGCTTCCCTCTACCGGCAAGGTTTATGAATATGCTGGTTTCCACCTTTCCAGTAGTATTTCACTGTAAAAGTGCCAATATCTGAATTATTGACAACAGTCTCACTGTGTGAGAAACAAGAACAAAACAGACTTTGCATTTAGTACATTTCTTGTACAATGCAGAATCATAGTTTATATCATGCTCATTTTCATGTTTCACAACAACATTCTTAGCGTATATATATATATATATATAATTCCCTTCTCACCCACCGCGGGTGGTTCTTATCCTCTGAGCTCGGGTCCTCTACCAGAGGCCTGGGAGCTTGAGGGTTCTGCGCAGTATCTTGGCTGTGCCAAGGACTGCACATTTCTGGACTGAGATGTCTGATGTTGTTCCTGGGATCTGTTGTAGCCACTGCTCCAGTTTGGGGGTTACTGCCCCGAGGGCCCCGATGACCACAGGCACCACTGTGGTCTTCACCTTCCAGGCCCTCTCCAGTTCTTCCCTGAGGCCCTGGTATTTCTCCAGTTTCTCATGCTCCTTTTTCCTGATGTTGCAATCACTTGGTATTGCTACATCTACCACAACGGCTTTCCTCTGATGTTTATCCACTACGACAATGTCTGGTTGGTTCGCCATTACCATTCTGTCTGTCTGGATCTGAAAGTCCCACAGGATCTTAGCTCTGGTGTTCTCTA